AATCACAGGGTTTTAAGAGATTAAACTTTAAGAGTACTGAACATCTAAGTCTCATGGCAAAACTACGAGGCTTGGCAGTATTGATACCTGACTTGCTTGTTGATACTACATCTCCCTTTCTAAAAAGAAGGTGCATAGGCATAAGCTCCTGATTTTAATTAAATTTTGTCTTTCAGAAGGGAAAGTGGCAGGTGTACGGAGCTAGAGAGATCCTCTGTGAAATAATTAGATGAAAACTGATAATATTTGGCTTAAGCCACAGTGCTGGCATAAAGGTTCTTAGAAAACAACACCTGCCCTTTGCTGATTAATAGGCCACTGCTGTGTTAGGATCCCGGCATACACCTTTGGTAAATGTTGCCTGTTCTAATAGCAAAAACTTCCTAAAACTTGGCAGCCAGCCAAGTCAATTTTATTTGTCTGTGGAACTTTATGGGAACTTTACATATATGAGAAGAATTGCACCTGATCCAAGTACAATAGCAGCTGTATGGCTAAATCTTTCCTGATTTGTAAAAAAAAAAAAAGAAAAATTTAAAAATTTTGAGTATTAGAGTGTGAATTTTTAAACAGTGGTGGTTCACAATTTTTGACCAAGTTTTGAACTTTAGATATTTGGCCTTTATGGGCCTGTAGGGTCTTTGCAAAGAAAAAGTGAGAAACTGCCTATTTCCTGAAAAAGCCCCAAATACTAACGCCTGCACTGCATCAGTAGAGCTGCCAAGTCTGGCGTGGAAGTGAGGGTGATATAGGCGTGTGCGCTGAAAGGAGAAGGAGTTGGTGTGATGAGATGTACTCCTAAAATCTATGGGGAAGGCAGACATGTGGGATGAGTGAGACAACAGGCAAATGAGACACTACAACAGAGGGTACAAAAACTTAGAGACAATATAAAACTTTATGGTGCACTTTTTATTCTTTGAGCTTAACAATATGCAGTAGGAAAATTTCCTAGAAATAATCCCATTTGTACATATGTGCATGTATATATATATATTAAAAAAAAAAATCCACACACACTACACTGCTTAGATGTAGAAACTCCTGTGCTCAGGGTGGTCCAAGCAGCCTGTTGACTACTCCAGCGCATCGTTTTCCAGATGCGCTGTTGCCAGCTCACTGATCCTCTCTCCTCCTTACTTTGGCTCCATAAATGCACTTTGGTTTCTGAATTCCACCCACCAGAAGCCAGAAAGGGCTCTCGCCTCTTTAAATTGTTCAGAAAATCCAGCTAAAGTTGAATGTTCATATAAAATCACTCTGACAGTTCATTTCCTTGCCATGATTTTATCCAAAATACAATTTTATAGTCCACAGCGTGAGTAGTTTTAAAAGGTAAATTACAGCTCATGACTGTTATAGAGGTCACTGTTTTCTACCAGATTATTCAAAGACAAATATTTGGCCTGAGAGAAATAAATATTTTGAATCAGTTCAGTATCTATTTAAACGCAATCAGTTATACATTTGGATACATAAAACTGCTGGTTTGTAATATGCTCTAGGCATGATGTATTTCCTTTGGGATTATTTTGGTCTCAGAATAATGAAATACTGGGATATGCATTGTGAAGTGTCAAGTGGCCATTTTCAGCTGCAGAATTTGCTCATGAAGGAACACAAAGGCAGCACATTACCTCTAAGGTAGTAGGTACTGGGTCTATCTCATGGGTTTCGTATATTAAACATGAAAAAGGAGATTTCAGCCAGAAAATATAATTTCCAGGAAGCTGCAATAAAGCAGCTGTTGCTCTATGTGTCCTGCAAATAGCGACAGTGGAGATCTTTCTGTGCTTCTTTAAGGACTGTACAATATATGCAGTTTTTCTTCTTTATTTTAGCATCCTGTGAATACAACAATCTCCATATTTGTGGATGGGAAAGAAGTTCCTGCATTGGTAGATGTTCTTCACATGAAGCACTTGGACTGCGTTATGACTGCGTATCGCTTCTCTACTTCTTTTAGAAGTAATAATTTTGCTGGGAAAGCTCTTGCTCGTGGTGCATTCAGCTGGTTCCCCTCCATACCAGGAACAGGAGACCTGCCACGGGCACCCGCTGTCCCCACTGACCCAGGCTGGGGACAAATGCCACCAAACTGGTCCCAGAGGTTGACAATCGGGGGGCTGCCGGGCTGCAATCTGTCCTCAGCAAAGCCTCGCCGCAGCACGCTGACAACCCTCGCCCCGACGGGACAAGCCGCTATCACCCACCAGCCTGGCATTTCAGCCTCCCCAGCCCAGCAAATATCATCTTCCCTGCAAGGTGGTACTGGAGACAAGGAGGGAAACAATCCCACCGCTCACTATTAGCAAAGGCACGGCTATTGAGGACTATTCTGTTTCTTGAACACACTGAAGGAAAAGAGCAGTACACCAGAGAAGCAGGGTTTCTGTGACATCCCCGAGCCCAACACACAAAGGAAGACCAAGGTGAAAAAGGGGAGCCAGGTAATTTTATCACTTTTTACCTTTGACCGTTTAGAGTTTCCAGACGAGCACAATGGACGTGTTTCTTAGTCAAGACCCAAGGCACCTGTAGGTCCTGACAAAGGAGATCCGTCCCCTGGAGCAGGGCTGTGAGTTGGGACGCATTCTGCTCCCCACTGCAGCGGTACGATGCATGGGGGAGCGCGTTTGTTTGTGGGGCCATTTTACACTCCTAACAGAGCTTCAAAAATCGGCACCGCTGTAGGAGTTCAGCCCGAAGAGCTACAACAAGTTGTGTGCTGTAATTCCGGTCTCTCACATAAATAAGTTCATGTTACTGGTATTTTAAATATGCATTTAGGGGCTCTTAGAGTGATTGACTCGATATAATGTAATAGGTATCATGAAGTTCTTATAGTCCTTAAATAACTCCCTAAATGCTTATTTATGTGAAACAGTAGCTTTTGGATTCTTCTAGCCATTATACTTTAAAGTGCAATAAATCTCTATTTAGGTGTAACTTAGGAAATTTAAAACAACATATGGCCTAGGGTTTGTGGGATATACTGGCATAGACTGAGGCAGGTTTTTTTCTGATCTCATTTTCCCCTTGATATCTGAATCTTAATAACACTAAATGCAATTATACTGATTTTACAGGGAGATTTTTTTATTCCTTTGCATCCAATGAAAATCCCTATGGCAGTATTTTTTTGAAGTCAAGCATTTTAAAATCCTACATGAGCAGTAGCTCTTTTTTCTATGTAAATGACTTGTTTAATTTTTATACCACACAGTATTTAAAGTTCTCATCACGAAGGAAAGCCCCCCAAATTTTAAGCTGAAAACAACAACTGTAAAAGCAAAATCCAAAGAAAAATTTTGGTCATTTTTAGGTTTTATTTCTCTCAAACATTTAGTTCATAATTCTTTCTTTTGCAAACAAATGTAAACTAGCATCCCAAGCGCTGTACACATGGACAGACCACACACGACCCCTCGGCTTCCAGGATGCCTGCAGTGTCCCTAGAGTGGGCTGTGCTCCATGGCATCTGAATAGCAGCATTCCCAGATGGAAAAAGCTTTTGATCTTTTAATATATTGCTTGCTTTGTTGTGCTGTTTTTACACCATTTAAAGCTTAGTTCTCAGTAGTCGTATGTTGCATAGAGAAAAATGACATTATTTAGGTGAAAATGTAATTTGATGACCAGTGAAACCTCTCCTACAGAGCTGTATTCTGTCTGTTCTGACATGTTGCTCTTAGTAAAGGGGATTTAACCATTTTTTCCCTTTTGTGGATAAACCAGGTTACATTGGGGAGAGAGGAATACAAGGACCCCCAGTAGGACCTGGACAGTGAGGACCAAAAGGAGGAAAGAAGGATCAGGGACTCAGTGGTGAGGCAGGACTTCCTTCCTGGAGAGGACAAACTTCTCCTAGAAGACCTCCAGGAACTGCAGGCTACAAGGGGCAACTGGGTCCAAGAGGTGAGATGGAACTCAGAGATAACTGGTGAGAAAAGGGGTCTGAGGGGAACAGGGGAGAAATGGGTGGGAAGGGCTGGAAGGGACACACAGGGCCACCTGGTATCTGAGGATTGTTGGGGCCCAAAGGAGACCCTGAAGTCCCTGGGAAAAGGGGTCAGCCTGGAAAACATGGGCTGGCTGGATTTCCAGGTTGAAAAGAAGAGAAAGGACAGAAGGAAAATAGGGGAGAAAATGAAAATGTAGCTTTTCCAGTGGGTCTTCAAAAAAAAAAAAAAAACAAACAAACAAAAAACCAGCAGCCTTCTGCTTTTTTTTCGCCCAGCAAGGGTGGATTCCTGCTGAGCGTTTAGTGCTGCCTCTAAGTGACTTTTAGGAGGCTACCACATACTGAGTACATAAGAGAGGAGAAAAAAGGTTGTATCTTGACTTGATTAATTTATCTATTGTACTGTCTTATATGGAAGTATTCCCTCCCCTAAATAACAACGTAGAAGAAAATCTTCATTTCACTCTGTTTTCTGTTTAGCTCAATTGTTTTGTGATAATGAATAAAGGGAAACAAACACATTTCAATTTTTCACAAAATAAAATTATTAGGGAGGGAGAGGAGGGCCTTTTCCAGGAGGTCTGCTAAATTGTTGTGGGAAATCTTGTGAGAAGCGTTAATTGTTTTTTCACATAGAAATGTTAATTTCCTTTTAACACTTTTCACCCAGCTCGAATGTAATTTAATTCCATTTTTACCCACTTCCTATTCTATGTGAATATTCTCTTTTCCAGTTTGCCTTCTTGAGCATTAAGATTTTAAATTACCTATTATTACAAACCTGGCTTATTTTCTATGCTGCTTGGGTTTTCACTGTTTCCTCCTTTATTGTATTTCCAGACCAGTTTTTTTTTAGTTTATCAGTTTACCTTGTGTCTGCAGATCTAAATTTTCTATTTTCATTTACAAACAATTGGAAGTGGAGCCCTCTGGGAGGTGCTTTTTGAATCTCCTTCACTGATCTCATTTAAGAAATACTCCATTAATTTAATACAAAATATATTTACACAGTTTGCCGTGTCCCTCTGTGTTTCAGAATGACAGCCAGGGAGAGGATCCCACAAGGACAAGGTTGCTGTGGCCGCATCCGGGTTCAGGACCCCTCCTGGGACAAGGAGGAGCCTCAGGCTGCAGAGGAGGGGAGAGGTGAGGGTCTCTGGTGAAGTCCTTCCTTTCCTCCCCATCTCTGATAATGATGGGGAGCCAGCATTAGGGTTGCAAGGATTAGTGATTGCAAGGATGCTGTTTCCTTGGGGAATTGCTTTAGGCTGCTTAAAGCTTCCTCCAGGATGCGCTGGCTTTCATGTGTTTGCTTTTGCCAAGCCCCATGAGGAGCTTTTAGTGATCTAGCAGTTATGAGAAGATCACAGCCCTTCCTACCCATGGCTGCTGGAGGTGCTGGTAGAAATCAGTAGCGTGGACACAGCTTTTTTTTACTCAGCTTTGCAAATCTCAGTCAAAAACAGTTATCTGCAAATATGCAAGGCTAGGAGTGTGTTTGAAATGTACTTTGAAGACATTTTAATGGCCCACATGCATCATTTATATCAGTAAAAGGTAGATCCAGATTCCCTGAATAAACAGAGTGATTAATCTAGTGCTAAATCTTAATTTACGCTCTCAACCCATGAGTTTTGGGAACTGCTTCAGTAACTCAGTAAGCACTCTATAATTTAAAAACCTGCAGTTGTCACATAATCTAATAATAGTATTCCAGACTGCTACTACTCAAGCTATTCAGGAAAATACACTAACCCAGGCTGTGTTTCTTGCTTTAGCTTTAGAGTGCAGCAAATATGGCATGAAATTAAAGTCTGTGAAAGACTAGCTTTGGTGAATATGGAGGCAACACTGTAAAATGCAGTAATCTTGGTTAAAAATGGTTAATCTTCCCCTGTTGAATAACTTCTGTTGCTAATGAAAAGTCCTGAGTTAAGAGCAAAATAAGGATTTTATTATAACTGATCTGATTGCCTTTTGTGTTCAGTTTATGTGTCCATAGTCTTGTCAGAAATATAACTGCTGAAGACAAAACTTCAGTTTAAAACATTGAGTCCAATTACAGTATCGAAAAGGGTTATTAATTTTTAAAAAGGAACTCTTTGAATTCAGGATCCAGCTCTGTTTTCAGCGGTATGAATGAGCATCAGTGAGTGCTAGTGCAGGTTCCATTGCAGGAGTTGTGACAAGCCCATGTCCTACACAGGGTTAGAGCATCTCGCTGCAAAGCTCCTAATTGATTTCTTTGGAATAGCCTGAAAAGCTGGTGAATCAATCTAGTCTGGTATGCTTAGTAATAGTCTTGCCTTAATCAACTTTTTATTGCTGAAAGCTGTAGACTAATGTGCAGGAAAGGGTGGTCACAAATAGATCATGGAGGATTACAATTCTCTCCACTTACATTAAAGGAGAATTGATTGTTTTCTCTAGCCTGCTTGAAACAAGCAGCCTTTCTCGTCCTGCAGCTGAGCTTTGAGTCTACTGGTATGTAGTAAATTCGGACTGATTGAATGAGATGGTTTCCTTGCTCATATTTCACCAAGACAAGGCAATGAAAGGCAGCCTCACATTCCTGCGTTTCATACTGCACTCTGAACCGGGTTGGGAAATCTAAGAATAAACGCTGGCCCATTTTAAGGTCACCAGGGAAGGAAACGAGTGCTGTGATTGCTGGGAAAGAGCGAGGAAAATCAATTAGCCTATGAAATCCAGAGGGGTTATCCGTTCCAATAAGAACAACGTTGTAGCAGCCCTCTTGGGATGGATTTGTCCCTTTTCCCATCGGGGTTTTGTTCTGCCACCTCGCTGTGCAGCATGGCTGCCCGCAGGTACCCTGCTATGCGCTGGAGGTGGAGGGAGAAGAAAGATTGCTTGCTCCATCTCTGCATTTACCTGGGACAGCCCAGATTTGAGGCTGAATTCCCCTTTCGCTGCATTTCTGTGCAGGTGCATGCACACATGCACTCATGATCCCATACAGCTATTTCTGTAATTTCTCTTTTACCCCTTCTAAACTCCCACTGCAAGGAGGGGACTGCGATGCCAAACTCTGCACACTAAATACTGAGGGAGAAGCCTGGACCCTGCTGAGGCAGATGGACAAATTCACACTGAGTCTGATGGTACCAAAACATGATGCTGCAAGTTGAAAAAGGAGTGTCCCTAAAGCCCCAAAAACTGATGTTGGGGGAAAAGCCAAAAACGTCCAATGTGAAGAGCAGCATCCTAGCCGGGGGAAAGTGTTTGAATTTCCTCGGATTTCAATGTCACTTTGCTCCTTTCAGGGGACTTTGCCAATCCCCCTTTCTCCCCACACCGTGCAGGCTCTCATTGGTCACGGGGACAGCTGTTACACAAATAAAACCGATTCTCTCCGAAAATAAGGTTGTCTTTTTCAAACTGCCATTGAGGGGGGGCCGTCCTGGGAGCAGGACCGTTTATAAGGTAGGAGATAGCACGCACTGGTCATTTAGTCTTTAGGTGGGATATTTGCAATGAAGTCGCAGAATTTAAGACGTAGTGGCAATATAATTTGTCTCAAGAAAAATCACTGTCTGTAATGAATGTATAGCTGCATGAGGACTAGTGTTTTTCTTCCCATGTATAAGAACTTGAAATAATTAATTAACAGAAAGTGCAATCATCTCCCTGCTACTTAAAGTTGGGAGATTGGGGTTAAATACCTGTTGTGAACTGGAATATCTAAATACTATAATTTTAGGGACCAAACAAAAGAACCAGTGTATTATTACAATGTTATTATGAGACACATGCTAACGATTAGTAGATATTTAGATCCAATTAAATATAGATGTACTGAATGAGATGTCACTGCAGCAAAGTTTAATTCTTCATATTTTGTGTCCACTGTGAATCATAATCTTTCCTAGTGGGGGCATAGAAATGAATGATTTTAGAATCAGTGGTGGTGAGCTAATGTAATGAAAAAGTCCAAAATTTCAGTTTTATTAAAATGCATTTATATATTTAAGCATAATTATTTTAGGAACAATTATTTTAGGAACAGTCTTGCCCATTATAATGAAAATCTGTTTAACGATTCCGTGGTCTGAGCAATTTATTTTCTAAACAGACTGGTAAGGTATAATTTTTTTATTAATTATGTTTTTCCAGTGTTTGACAGCAATCCATCAATCTGGCTACGTAACGGGAGAGTGTCTTGTTTTAGAGTGTCTGTTTTTTTGTTGCAGAAGTGGTTTGTGACAGTAAAACATAGAAACGGTTTTGATTTGAAAACTGATTTACCATTTCCCCATAAAGTTACTAGGTCTCTAAGGTCGCAGTTTCTTTCTGCTGCTGGCTTTAGGCATGTGGAAGTTATGGGTTTATTTAGTTATCTCCAAAACACTCCCACATGAGTATATTCTTCAAAAGGAGAATTTGGTGCTTTTTTTTCTCTTTCTAGACGGCAGATGACCCTCCTGCTCTGCGACTGTGGCTGCTTCCCTGCTGCTGGCTGTCAGTTCTGGCTCCTCTCTGCCTGCCTGTGCTAAACTCTTCATGGTAAGGTTGGCAGGGGCTGTTTGGGAGCAAATACGAGCCTATGACAAAAATCAGTGCCCGGTATCCTGTCCTAATGCAACACAGGCATGGAGAAGGGGTAATTTATCCTTTAGTGGAGCTGATGGGGTGAAGAATGGGTTGAACAGCAGCAATGGGCAGCAGTGATCACTGGGGATTTTGTGTGGAAAATCAATTTTCCATTAAATGATTTGTTGTTGTGTGAAAATGGAAAAAAATCATGACCCTTTCCTCTAAAACTGAATTCTTAAAAATGGAAAGATTATAATACAGCCCCCAAATACCTGACTTTGAGTCAGATCTCCTTTTGCCCTCTGGATGGCAAGGATAGTCAAGAGTTTCTCCTGGTGACTTTTTCATGTAATGAAGTGCCTTAGCTGCTAAGGAAGGTTAGATTACAGGTTCAGCAAGAAAGGGAGTCTGTTCCGTTTGTATTTACAGGTCGGTACACTGGTTTAAAAAAGAAACAAAGATGCTTTATATGACAAGTCATCTGAGAGGCGTCATCTGTCCTATAGGAAAAAATGTGTGCTTCTTACTTTGTTCTTTCTTCCTGGTTCAGCTAAATCAACACTTTAAAAATAAAAAGAACAGACCTGAAAGTTTACACTAAAAGAATATGTAAGTCCAGAAAATCAGTCAGTAACAAAGAAAAAATCGACATAAAAGTTTTTGAATACTTGATGTTTCATTGTTTTCATTTATTCTTTTAGAGTAAAACTTTTTATAGCGTGCAGTTGTGTCAGACTCTGAAATCATTATTGAATTATTCCTAACTATGCACTTGGGAGAGAGACATCATGTGTCCCAGTGATGGTGTAACTCTCAGTCAGTCCCTTGAACTTCTGTTGATACCTGTGGGAGCACTTCCAACCACAGCTAACAGGAGCAGCTGGATGGCAAGTGCTCTGTAGGGTGCTGGTCGATACGGGTGAGTGGGCAGGAGGTTTTGCTAACTTTGCTTTACTTTCCTCATAAAAAGCGAGGCTTTGTAACGTAGTCCTCCAAGCAGATGCCCACACGTGCCTGACACAAACTCAGGCAGGTCTTCTGGCTTTGTGGGGTACATGCGAACGCAAAGGGTGTTGTGCAGCAATTAATTGTGTTTGTCTTTTCCTACAGCTGCCAACATGTGGAGCTCACCAGGGTCCATCTTGGCATTTGTGATGTTGGTTGTTATCGCCGTGCACGCCGGAGTGAAGGTGACCCCAGCTGTGAAGTACACAAAGACAAAGCCCTTACAGCTGGTGGGCAACGGTGCCTCTCGCACCCCCCTCACCCCTCTCACGGGGAAAAGCCCGTTTGCGGCAGCGCCAGGCAGAGCCAAGTTACCCACCCCAAGCCCTGCGACCCAAGGGGCCACCACGCTCTTCCCCTTCGAGAACTACACACTTGACACAGCCGATTTCTTCTTCAACTGCTGTGACTGCTGCCCGCCTGCCGCGGGGCCCTGGGGGCAGTTGGGAGAGCAGGGACCCCCAGGTATGGTCTTGCCACTCTTAGCTAAAATGCATAAACCCTATCAAGGAGACTCCTGCTTTTCCTTCAAGAAATGAGACTTGGGCAGCAAATGCCGAATGTGATTATACCTCGTGTAAAGCCGGAGCAAAAAAGTGCATGCTGGCCACATCCCAGAAGTTATAAAACACCAGTATGAGTGGGAAAGCCCCCAAAAGGGGCTTCCTTCCCACAGCACTCACTTTGGGGACCACACTGGTGTGGGAGCATGTGCAGAGCCGGCCCCATACCACATCACTGCTGCCCCACATGGCCACGCTTTTCGATTCTCTGTCCCTGTGTCTGATCTCCTGGGAGCCACAGATTTACTTTCACATTCACTTCATGGTTTTATGACCCTCAAAACTATCTGCAGGCAGTTTTGTATCTTTGCTGAAGGTTTATGATAAAAGCCTCTTTTTCTTGGATTTTTTTTTCCGCTTGGAAGAGAGGAAGTTAAATACAAAAATAATTTTAGGTTCAAATTTTAAAATAAACACTTGCTCTCACAAGAGGCAGCTCTGTATAGAGCACCTAAATATTTTATAAGACGTACTTTGTCTCTTTTTTCTACTGCTAAAATATATATCTATATAGCACCTAATTCTAATACTGCTATAATGAATAGTGTATTAGTCTGCAAATGTTCACTTTAATAGCACTAATATTGGAGATAGAAACTATTCATCTGAGGAAAGGTGGTAAAATCATGAAATAATTTTCTTTTAATACAATGTACTCAAGGGATTTTCACTTCCCATAGCTCGGGAGGGATTGGCTAATGGAAATTATAGTGGCTGCAAAGGGAGTTTGCGCTTATACTTCTCGAGTGCTGATGGAAAAGTCCTTGTGTCAAATGGGTTGTGTTGTGATGATTGAAGCTGCCATAGTCTGCTCCCAGACGTGCACCAGCAGTCTCTAGATTCCCAAGTGGATGAAAAAGTAAAAAAAAAATTGAAGACAGCATGCTTGCCTTTCAACCCATCCTTTATGCAGCGTGGAGGTGTCTGCCAGGTTTCACTTTGGTATTTGCAGACTTAATTCTTTTTAAGGAGGGGAGCAATTATGAAGCTATGGGAGCTCCTTAGATGCGCTCAAATATTAAAGACAGATTACTTCTGATGTTTTATGAATGTCTGAGCTCCTGTGGCTCTGAGACAGCTGAAAGTTGGTTTTAAAAAGTCTTTAACTACAGCCAAGAGTGAAATGCAAATCTGTAAGATTTAGGGATTGCAGTAGCTGAAAGGCAAAAGCTGGCGATCTGCGTGCCTGACCAGGGGACCTGTGAGCACACGCCCCACTAATTTCAGCATGAGCAGCACGGTGTTGCCCCATCACCCCTCACCTTTCGCCCTGCTGTAGGGTTTCAGCTGCAGTGTCTGCAAGGCGTAGGGGAGCAGGGCTCAGGCCAAGCCCCTCTGTCTCACGTTTTCTTTGCATTGGTTGTATGATGTCAGATAAAATAGCCAGCTCCTCTCAGGGTGATGGAAACAGAGTTTTCCTTACATGCATCCCTCAATGACATGTTGCTTAGCTATTTTTGCAAATTTTCTTTATAAGAAAGATAATTTTGTTAATGTGATTATGTTACAGGTCCCAAGGGGGAGAAAGGAGATGCTGGTCTGCAAGGTCTGCCAGGAGCCCCAGGTCCTCAAGGTCCAAAAGGTTCTAAAGGAGAAAGAGGTAAAGCAGATTAACTACTCATTTTGAAAACAGATGCTGTTGTCCTCATCGAATACCACAAAATTATAGAAAGAAATATTTTTCAAAGGAAATGGAGTATACTGGTATGGATTGGCACCTGGCAAGATTTAGCTGGTATTAGTGCAGGGACAATAACTCAGATGGTGGTAGCATATGTGTGGGCAGTATAGGAACAGCCGCTCATAAAGATCTCACTTGAAACTCCTTGTTCTGAACGGGAGTTTAAAAACTGAGTTCAGTTTGCCTTGGGTTAGGGAAATAAGCAGGAAGAAAACACCATGGAAGCTCCGCACAGGTATAGAAGCTGCATTTCCATTTAAGTATCTCAGGCAAAATGATTTCAGCTAAGATGGAGAGCAATTATTATCCATCAGTAGTAATGGAAAGGAAACCCTGCCCTTCATTTCAGGCTTGGAGCAGCTCTGTCCTGCTGACACACACCACTGGTAGGATCCTGCAGCTGCCTTTGGTTGTGGAGAAACACATGGCAAAGCTGATAATGGGTGTAACAGCAGCAGCGTGCTGCGCAGTTCAGTCAGTGCAGTCTCTTAGGCTTTGATTCACTTGAACAAGATTTTTGGCAATCCTGGAGTGAGAAATGCAGAGCTGTCATCTCCTCCATCTTGCCATTAAACAGCTGTTGTGGTTTAACCCCAGTCGGCAACTAAGCACCACGCAGCCGCTCGCTCACTCCTCCCCGCCCCCAGTGGGATGGGGAGGAGAGTTGTAAAAAAAGTAAAACTCAGGGTTGAGATAAGAACAATTTAATAACAACAACAACAGCAACAATAATGTTAAATTGTAATGAAAAGGAAGATAACAAAGAGGGAGAGAAATAAACCCCTAGAAAAACAAGTGATGCACAATGCAGTTGCTCACCACTCACTGACCAATGCCCAGCCAGTCCCCGAGCAGCTATCAGCCCCTCCCGGCCAACTCCCCCCAGTTTATATACTGAGCATGGCGTCCTATGGTATGGAATATCCCTTTGGCTAGTTCAGGTCAGCTGTCCTAGCCATGCTGCCTCCCACCTTCTTGTGCACCTGCTCGCTTGCAGGGCATGGGAAACTGAAAAATCCTTTACTTGGGATAAGCACTACTTAGCAACAACTAAAACATCAGCGTGTTATCAACACTATTCTCATACTAAATCCAAAATACAGCACTGTACCAGCTACTAGGAAGAAAATTAACTCTGTCCCAGCCAAAACCAGGACAACAGCAGCAACCACCTCCCAATGAGGCGCTGATTAGAGTCAGAAATCCAACATTCGAGTGAGATGCAGTTGTCTGCATGATGGTGCTTGGTGCTGTGAGATTCAGCTGAGGTTTCTGAAGGCATTTCTTGAAAACACACGTTGCTTATGTCTATTTTATTAATGAAGTGAGGGACACATGTGAAATCATACCAGTCATCTTCCGTGAAATGATTGCTGTGCTGCAGACACCACCACCAACAATATATTAATGGTGAAATGTCCTAGGAGGCAAAGGGGAGCAAGGCGAGCGAGGAATAAGTGGAAACCCCGGTTATCCAGGCAAACCTGGGCTGCAAGGTATGTAACAGGGGCTGGGAAACCCAGGAGTATTACTCTGACCTTTCCCTTTGCTGTCATCTCCAAAGCAATCCAATACTAATGTTTTTAATCTTTTTTTTCCTCCCACTTTGCCCTTTTCCTAGGTGAAGCTGGAGTAAAAGGCAATAAGGGCAACTATGGCTTCCCTGGACTGAAGGGACAAAAAGGGTCCAAAGGGGACACTTGTGAGAACGGGACCAAAGGAGAAAAGGGAGATAGGGGGGATGCTGGAGACCCAGGAGTGGATGGAGAACAGGGTGACAAAGGGGAAAAGGGAGACACAGGGGAGAAGGGGTACTGCGGGGAGCCAGGGGGAAGAGGTGCGAAGGGAGAAAGAGGGGAAGGGGGGACAAAGGGAGAAAAAGGGAGCAAAGGGGAGATGGGGGTTGAGGGTATTCAGGGGGTGGATGGAAAACAGGGAGAAAAGGGCGAGCAAGGAAGTAAGGGTGAAAAAGGGGACCTGGGACCTGCCGGCATGACAGGACCTTCTGGGCCCAAGGGGGCCGCTGGCAGCAAGGGGGGCCGAGGGGCTCCGGGAAAGAAAGGCTCCCGTGGGGCAAAGGGTGCCCGAGGGGACACGGCAAAGCTCCTGCGATCAGCGTTCAGTGCCGGCTTGTCCAAGCCCTTCCCTCCACCCAACGTCCCCATTAGATTTGACAAGATATTGTACAACGACCAAGAAGATTACAACCCTTCCACTGGGAAATTCAACTGCAGCGTGCCCGGGGCATACGTCTTCGCTTACCACCTGACGGTGAGAGGGCGTCCAGCCCGCGTCAGCCTCGTTGCCCGCAGCAGGAAGGTGGCCAAAGCCCGTGAGACGCTCTACGGCCAGGAGATCGACCAGGCATCCTTCCTGACGGTCCTGAAGCTGAGTGCAGGCGACCAGGTGTGGCTGGAGGTTGCACGAGACTGGAACGGGGTCTATGTCAGTGCTGAAGACGACAGCATCTTTACGGGGTTTCTTCTGTATCCAGATGTTTTTGAGATCCTGCTATAGATTTAAAGGGCAAAGATGGTACTGGGAAACATGCCTTTCCCTCTGCCTGTGAGAGGAGAGATGAGCATCAGTTTAGCATATTGGTTTAGTTGCTAGTTTCGTGAGCTTTTAACAAAAAGATTTATATTTGCAATATATGGATTAGTTTTAACTAGCAGCCCCAAGAAGCGGCACGTCCTTTGCGCAGGTGGGTGATGGCTAAGAGAAACCATTGTCCAAACGCCAGCAGGACTGGCATGGGGAAGGGATTTCGTATCACAGACTTCAGGTTTGTGATTAGCCTATTCAAATTATGTAATGAAACTCACTGTCCAACTGCTGTTTTAATCACACCTGCTCCTTCAATCCTTGCATGGCCAAAACTCTAGAAATCAGTGCTCGTAACCATTGGTTTTGGTAAAGATTGCAGAGTTTGATTTATAGAGCTTAATCAGATGTGAACATGAGCAGTAGGTTTCTTGAAATCACATTACAAGTTTTAAAGTTGTTTTATCATTGAATCAGTATTATCTAGTACTTTAGACTTGGTCATGAATTATATAAAGGTTTCTCTAAAAGAGTATTAGAGCTATTCAATCAGTGTAAAAAACCCCTAACTATTGTCCTTAGGTAAAAATATATCTGACACTTTCAAAAGTAACTGAGAGATGCATAATCCACCTTATTAGGCTACTCAGAAACGACCTGTTTCTGAGCCGCTGATGATTCAGCTGATGCTGTGGGGTTGGCTCTCGGCTGCAGGGAGGAGGAGGAGGCAGCCAGGAGCAGGCTTTGGCACTCGCTCGAGTCCTGAGGCGTTGTGATGGCCCAGTGGACTTGTGGGCACATTTTTAAAAAGCTGGTTTACCAAAATGGAACTAAATCCTGTGAAATAAAAGTATGACATTAAATAATCTCTGGATGTCAGACTGGACATATTTCCTTATTAATGCACCTTCTCTCATCGTCGTAACTTTACGCCACCTTTGGCATATTAACGGTGGCACACAAAATTGTTCCAATCACTCTTTTTTTTTTAGAAATAAAACTCAAGTCCCATAGCTAGCCTTCAGTGGCACTGGGATTTACTTGTCTTCTCAGGCAGTCACAAGACTGGGACTTTTTCCCAGTGATTTGATAAATGCTGGGTCTGATCCCAATGTGAACAGGGTGAATTAGGCTACTATTCCCATTCGTCTCAGTTTCCTTGCTTAAATTGCCATGGTGCTTTCCATACCATATTTAAGTGCCATCATAAATCATGTCCCTGTCCCTAATGTCTTCTTCTTACATGGCACCAAGATGAAGAGTTCCCGAGACGTTTTTTATCCAGTGAGAAAATTAACAGCAGAGAACTACTGTTAAATTTTAAGATAAAAACAAGGCAATTTTAAAAGGCTGATCCTATCTATCCAGTAAATGTAAAGGGTCCTTCAACTCATCGGCTTTGCAGCCCTCTTTCAATATCAACAATTCAAATGTGAGCTGTACCGGCTTTGTCAAAAAGTTGGTACTTAATTTGGTGCTTAGACTGAGTTTGTTCCTATGTAGTTCAAATCCAGAGTACTAAGTATATAAAAGATGCAGATTCTGGTTTATGAATTCTCTGGCAGCTGTTAAATATTGAGGAAAACCAAGAAGTTGTAATAATAATTTTGGATTCCTGCTGTCACAACACCCTCAATTCTTTTGTTGCGCCTTCGTGCTGCTTCCCATACGATCCCTGTAACAGATGGTGGTATATGGACATCTGACTAGCAATTTTCTCTTCTCCTGCTGAAGTTTCTTACACTTTTTGTATAAATAACCTCTACAAATGCTCTTGAGAAAGCAATGCAAAAATTCAGAGTCTCTCAAGAATCTGCTCAGATCTAATCCTCTCTGTAAATTAATTGCCTGGTCCTCTAGAGAAAAGAGGAGCTGGCAACACAGCGCAAGCTAGAAGAGCACCTGCTTCCTTCCAAAAATCTTTGCATAAAATATACCCATGAAGAGGACAGCCAGGTTAGGAGACTTTGAGCTGCTTAAATCCTGCAAAGGTGCTCTGAGAGCAGGTTAATAGGAGCAGCTGGAGACAGTCCAGGCTATGCAAAGGTCCAGACTCACAGGGCCTGGGGAAGGACGTGGGATGCACATGACAAACCCACTGATTTCTAAACCCCCATAATGGATATAGGAAAGCTGTAATGGTAGTTGATTCTGGCTCCTATGCTAAGGGCATATTTTATCATTAACCAAACACCAGTGGAAGGGATTTCTGCCTGAAACCCTGACTGGGAAGGCAAGAAGCATGCATACAAGTTACTGAAATAACACACAGCTCCTTCACATACATAGGTTTCTTAGGGTCTATAGCTGTGCCAGTGGTACTTTCAGTTTCATTTAAAGTGTTGATGTTTATTCTGAAAGCAAGTGGGTTTTTTTAAATTTAATTAAAATACATTAAACAAGTATCTTGCAAAATTGAGTGTGTTAAGCACAGCGAGGGGTGGTTTGGATAAATATGGATCTTTGTAGAGTGGGAATTATCTTTATCTGATATCAAATTGAATTAACAATAACACCTGGAAAATACTGTTTCTCTACTATTTTTTCTACTTTGGTATCTTGGCCAAACCAAGTATTGTTTGTTAACCAAGTATCTTTAATCAGATCAGTCCACAACTGGGCTCAAAAATTGCGCCCAATTACCAGAAATATTCACACAAACAAATGTACACACCTCCTCCTTTTACAAGCAGAGACTCAGGGGCTGGTGTCTTGGTAGGCTTCTTCTGTCTTTTAAAGGCCATATGAAACCTCCCTGCTCAAAGGGTTTCAGAGCTTTAAACACAGCAGATCTGCAGGAGGGCTGAAGTGAAGGAGAGGGGCAGAGCTGCTGCCCAGCTGGGTTCTACACGCTTGCCAGCTCTGCCTCCACCTGCAGCAGCCCAGGCTTTACCCTTTCCTGCCTGCTCCCAGGTAGCCTGCCTGAGACCATTGGGCTAGAAAACTTTAATCCAAGCCATTTTCTATTGTAAAAGGTCGGGTTTTTTTGCAATGGCATTTGCAGTCTCGCTGCTGTGGGGTACTTCGGTGAAGCGTTCTGCTGCAACAACTTTTAACTGAAGCTAACTGTTCCGTGGGAAGTTTTGAAGTATTAAAGAAGAGCTCATTTTTATATGGCTTTCCTCATTTTTCATGTCGTGTCAGAACAAAAGTAAATGAATTGATTGAGGATGTGCTTTGTCTCATTATGTAGCACTGCCAAAATTGCCAAAATATTTGTTCCATTTCACTTCTGCTTCTACTTAGCACAGATTTATTTTGTAAAACTATCTCCTGTCTATGCTGCAATGAAGCAGTTTGACACTGGTGTAAGAGAAAATAAATGCTCAGTGTACTAATCAGAAGAGCAGCTGTTTTCAATAACTAAGAAAAATTAGTCCAAGCTGACATAAGGCCATAAAAAGCAGCTGCTTCTTTAATTAGGATGTTGAGGGCTAAATCTACGGAAGAATTTGGGACCCTTGCTAGCAAAAACATACTGGAGCCCTAAGTTAGGCAACTAAGTCCTCTGTATAAAACCAGGGGAGAGTGAGGGATATCAGATGGAAGGATCCTGAGCAGTCATGACTCCTTGCTGCCAGCACTCTTCCTAACCTCAGAGAACAGAATATGCCAGTGGGAAGGAAAATCATTCTTGATACTTTGATAAAGCTCCTATCTGATACAGCTTTGCTTTAAAGCCCCTATCTGATACAGCTTTGCTTGATACCATTGCTTGCACCTCAAAGTAAATAAAGTACCTGGAGTGGTGTCAAGGCAGCCCTGAACTCACTCTTGCCTGGCACAAATCATGTTGCAATCAGCTCTAACGAGATTACAAAGCTGTTCTGATTTTCAGAGCAAACCACCTCTCTTCTGGTATTTTTCATGCCTTTTCATTCCTGTCTCAGATGTTACACAGATGCCATAATATTAGCACTTATTTTAATAATTTTATTGGCAGGGCTGTGTTTTTTGCCCCGAGGAACTTCGGAGGCACTGTCTTATGCAGGATAACTTGGGTCTCCCTGTGCTTCTTGCTCTTGTTCTGTGGCTTTCCAGATGCCTTGTGCTCCTGAGAGCCAACCCTTGCTTTCAGGCATCTATCTCACCTTGCTCACCAGCTGAGCTGAGTTTGCCCCAGAACGAGGGCCACCTGCAAAGCCTGAGGGCTGCTGTGTTGTGGGTTAATAAAAGGGATAATATCCCATGAGCTGGGAGTGCTGGGTCTCTTTTGGAGCAGAGACTGTGCCTTGGTGGCCTTTGACTGGTAGAAGGCAACCTTTCTTGGTGATTGCTATCTTTCTCCTTCCTTTCTGGATCAATACGTTGTGTCCCAGGTAAGTGAGCGCTTGCTGTTATAGGCTGGTTTAGATGAAAATGGATATGTTTTAGTGAAGGTATGCTGACTTCAAGATATGAATTCATAATAGGTTTGAAAACACAATATAATAATCCCAATTCAGGTATTTCAGTTGAAATATGCCTTGCTTTTTCAGAGACTTGTAACTTTGCCTACAACTACTTGGCTGGAGAAAGTAATTCTCTCTTGAAAGGAGAAAAAGCACTTTTTGATGTGAATTAAAATGGATTATAGTGTGATCACTGCTAGTTATCCAGTGTGCTTGTAAAATGCTGGAGCTTCTTAATAGGGGATATTTATCAAGTGGTGTATAGGCTGGTATTGTTTTCTAGATATAGCCACCATTATTTATTCACAGTAAGAGCTCTGTCACAGTTTTATGTGCCCTGTCTGCAAAGTTGTACCTCTGAGGCTGGAGTTTCAGAAATACTACTTGAAACTGTTTTGGAATGGCGGAGTACTGCACCATGCAATGATTTAATTTCAAGATGAAAAGGCTTTGCTCTTGCGTGGTGTTATAAGGTCTGGTTTAACAACTGTTACAGTCTTCTATAAAGGTGCTTAAACTTAAATGCATATATTAAAAGTTGCAAAGTCAATTTTGGGGTAAATTTGAATCACTTTGTGCATT